TTTATGATGTATTTGATGTAATCCCATGCAATATCAAAATTTGGAAGACCAAAAACCTTGCACCACTAGCTAATATCCTTCATAAATTATTTTTAATCTACTGACCTTGCACATATGGAAGGGTTGCAATTGCAATCATAAGAAGAAACACACACACCTTAATTAGAGTTGCTTTTTACACACAAAAAGGGGTTTTATATGAAGAGAAATATTTCCACTTTAATAAATAAATTTTGTTAAAAGTGTTTTGATACTAATTTCATAATTAGAATTGCATTTTTGTCATAGAATTTGAATTGAAGAACACCATGATGGCATTCTCTTATTTGATTGTACTTCAGTTTGTTTCGTGCCCCCATATGTGCCAAGCGATAATGATAAACATGAAAGACCAAACTAATCTCAAATTTTCATTACCAAAACCATGTGTCAAATCCCCAAAAGCTTCCATGCTAAAACAAAAGAGCACTTAAACCAAAACAAGATCCACATCTTCTACTTCTCCGCTACACAGACAGCAGTTTATATTGCTTTCATCCATTCTCTTAACGGTTATATATGTGGAATGAATTAGACTTCCGCAGATCCGTGATTAATTTCATTTTGGTTATTAAAATTGTTGGAGCTGTAGGCGTAAATGTGGGGTATGCAAGAGATGAACTAGGCGACAGAGGTTTGCTTGCTTCAATTGTGCAAGTACAACCTATAATTAAGGAGGAAAAAAAGAAGTGTATGGGTATTGCATGCCCATCACTTTCTTATGATTCCGTATACAATTGTTGTTCAATCTTCTCTAGCTCCTCCATATAGCATATATTTTTTTGAGGTTTATATTTTACATTTCGAATTACACATTAAAAGTGGAAGTTGAGTATAAAAATTGTTAAATTACTATTAATAAAATAATATAATAAAAACTTTTATTAAACGTATTTTAAAAAATTTATAGGTTAAACTGCGTATTAAAAATGTAATCCAACCTGTAAAACACTTTTTCACTTTTTTTTTTTTGCTTGAATATCAACAAATTAGCTGCTTAATGTTTACTAATATTTGAACTAATTAATTATAATTATTGGGAATTAACTTGACTAAACTCTTATTAATTCTCTTAAACATATTTCGTAATTCTAATTTCCTTCTTGTGTATAATGCTATTTGATTATATATAATTCTGAAAAATCGATTAATTATTTATATTGATGTATTACTGTGTATATGTAATTAATTAAATGAATTATAATTATACTTTTATATATTTTAGGGGAGTTAATACTCAATATAGGAGAATGAAACACAAATAAACTTGAGGTTTTATTATATCTTTTTCAAATAAGATAGAAACATACAAAACTTAATTATATGTTATATCATATGCAAGGACATATATAAGATATACTAGTCAATATATAATAGAAAATAACTTTTTGTTCTTATAACGTATCTTGTCACACATCTCAAGAATTTGAACTTGATGAGGTTTAGTATTTAAAATATCAAGTTTTTATTCATTTGAGAGATCTTCAAAGACACATGCAAGAACAAATATCATTTGAGATATCTCTTGAAGACACATGCAAGAACAAATATCTTTAATGCTAGCTAGGTATAAGAGTGTTGAGGGAAAATAAACCTAGGTCTTTAAGAGATATAATATGTGTTGAGCACGCAAGAAATTAAGGTGATTGATTAGCCAAGATAGTTGGGTTAGGAACTCTCTATCTTTTTTTTTTTTTTTTTTGAGAAGTAAATAATTAAATATTATTATTTATGAATACAAAGGGTGTTTCAAGCTATGTACAGAATTATTTCTTGCCTTACATCTCTCATGTATACGACATCCTACCCAAAATTAACATTAGGTTAGGAACTTTCTTGTTAATTAATCTTAATTATCCAATTTGATTTACAACTAATTAATCAAGCTTAAAACTCCTCTATAAAAAGCCCAGCTACCTCTGTCTCATTATTATCCTTCTCTCCTTCTCTTTCTCTTTTCTTCCTCTGATCTTCTAGCAGCGGAAAGAATGGATAAAAAACCATGCAATTCCCATGATGTTGAAGTGAGGAAAGGACCATGGACCATGGAAGAAGACTTGATTCTCATCAACTATATTGCGAATCACGGTGAAGGTGTTTGGAACTCTCTTGCTAAAGCTGCAGGTAATCAACAAAAACACTAGTTAATCTTATTGTATCCAATATAATTCCATATAAGAAAAATAATTTTTTTTTTTATACATTAGTACAAAAGAAAAGAAGAAAAATAGTAGAAAACCTTGGTAATATATATATAGTCCGGTCGGACCATATATATAACTTAAACTAATGGGGGACGGACTTTCTAAATCTAGGGACTATTATTCCATATAACATTAATTACTAATAGGTAATCTAATACATTTCAAATTATAAAACCAGAAACTCTATATATGTATATACAAGAATTATATTAATTTTTATATTAAATATTTACATATACATATATTTGTTTATAGGGCTGAAACGTACCGGAAAGAGTTGCCGTCTCCGGTGGCTGAACTACCTACGTCCGGACGTCCGAAGAGGCAACATCTCACAGGAGGAGGAGCTCTTGATCATAGAACTGCATTCGAAGTGGGGAAACAGGTGACATAATTTATAGTATTTGTTTAAAATTGCTGTTTTTCCTCCTTTATTTTTTGAAAATGATATACCCTTTCCAGTCCGGTTTAGCTAATTTACCTTTCACATAAACTTTGATCAAGTAATTTTATATAAAAAATAGATGACAATTGAATTTCCTTTTATACATAGTTTTTATTGACTATTTTTACTTAAATCAATCTATTTTTTTTAATCATCATTCATTTGTTATATAAAAACATTAAGTTAATTTTTCTAAAGTTGAAGTATTAGGATAATTAAAAAAGACTAAAGGAATAGTTATAATGCTATATAGTATTATAAGTTTATAATATAATATGTCATTATATAATTAATTTTTTTTACTAAAAATGTATTATTATATTATATATATTTACTCTTTTAATTATACACATCACACTCATTTAATGACACAAAATTATTATAGTTATAATGTTATATAAAATTATAAATTTATAATTATTACATGATGTTAAATAAGTATAATATAATATTAAACAAATAAATACATATAATCTAATGGATAAACTCCTTAAATAAAAATAATTAATTATATAATAATATATCATATTGTAAACTTCTAATATTACATAGTATTATAATGTAACATTTTCGTCAATGACACGTCTATTCCTTCATTAATGTCCCAACATTGAAATGTTGATATATTTTTATTTCTTTACATTTACTTTCTTCTAAGTACCAAATTTATGAATTTAAATATCTCAAAAGTACACGTCATTTAGGGAACCAACATGGCACGTTGTTCAGATTGGCTTGATTGTTAAGTGTTCCTAACACACATGCCTAACACTTGGGTAAACAATAGCGTGATGATGCTATTTTGTGAGATATAGATCCCACATAGGCTATTCTTCTAGATTTATTTCCAGCATTTCCTTAAAAGTAATAGGGAAAACAAGAACACAAAAAAATAATACCTAAAATTTCATCAAAAGTATGTGCTACTAAAGATTTTGGCATCTTTTTCTCTTATGTATGTGCCACAAATATATTTACAGCTGGCTTAACAGATTGGCATGATAAATACCAATGGTTTGATATTCTGAATAGAAAGAAGTCGATTCTCCTTAAATAAGATCTCGAATTTGAGTATTGTAAATAGAGAATTAAGCGTTAGAAAAACTTCTCCTTTAATAAAGTCCGACGTGATTCGATTTCGAATTGATCGAAATCTGATGTGATTACCAAATACCACTGAGAGGTTATTAAAAAAAAAGAAAAAGATTGGCATGATAAATGTTTCCAATTATGGCAGTACCCATTTCATCAGTCGGTCACATGTCAACCGTAACCCCTTTCCATTTTTGGAAAGAAGATAACTTCATTATTTTGGTAGCGCTTCTTGCCACTTGCAATTCAACACGTGATGAAAAACAGCAGTGGTTTTTTTCTTTTTTAAATATTCATGTTATCTAAAAAAATTATTTTTTTAAGGGTAAAGGAAAATTTTTTAATAAAAAAATCAATATAAAAGTGTAAATCTTTGGAATTAATTAAATTCAATTAAACATTTTAGATTGTGAATATTTTGAATAAAAAATAATATAT